GTTTGGGCAAAGAAGCATCAGACATGATTGAAGCTGTGCTCTGTGGTGTTGCTTCGTCGCATCTGCTCTGTTGTTCCCAGAAGGCTGCCGCTGAAACCCATCACCGCGAATTGTGCTGTCATCTACTTGCAACAGCTGAATTTACAGAGCTTTCGCATCACTTCTGCACATTTGCATGGTACCGAATACTGAAGTAGGAAAGCTATTTTTCTTGAATTGGCAGCTGTGGAGCTTTGCAATGCAGGATTTGTAAAGATTTGGGGTTGGTGGGACGGCTGTGCAGACTGCAGCAGATAGTTGCAGCCAGAGGCTTTAAGTTGGAGGTGTGTGACACATCATTACTTGGACACCATACTGGTACCAAAACCAATCTAGAAAGACTTGTGCCAAAGATGCAAGCCGGTGATCCTGCCCCTGGACGGACAGCGACGGCGCAACCTCCACAGAGCCCCAGACTGATGACGTTACGGCTCAGAACCCCAGAACTTCCTTGCTGAGTACGTTTTGTCTGGCAGGTGACAGAAGCTGAAGCCCATTAATCGCTCAATCCCGAAGGCAAGTCTCCAGCAAGAACGACATTGAAACACAAGAACATGAACACAAGGAGAGCACGAACTCCAGCCTGCAGCGCCTCCCGCGCGGTGCTCCGCGGTGCGCGTGACGCAGCTGGCCGAGTGCACCGCTGGCTGAACCGGCTCAAGGGTTTGATTTTTTTAACCAGCCCGTTCGTTTTGACATCGCCCCATGAGCAAGTATGATTCTGCGAAGGTGCACCGGGCCTGGGCCTGCGTCCAAGTCGTCGGGCAGGCCCCAGCCGTTCCGAGGCTCCGGGTCTGACCGGGGGCGGCTTTAGGCTTCGACCGTTGCTGTAAGGTTTGGAGCGGCTGGGGGATGTTCCGGGCTTCGGAGCTTAGAACTAAAGGCTGCAATGAAGCATCTAGAGTCCTGGTTTGGGGTGTGAGTGATGTCGTGTTGGAAGAGCATGAACAAGCACGACACCAGCTGCCTGCGGGGTAACCACCGAGCTTCGGCTTCTGTTGCACTTGATGGCTTTCTTCTGTCTATCCTCCGGACTAGGCAGCAGTGCACTTGTGCTGCATTCGACGCCCGGTAGTCGACCCCATGACGTCTCGCGTGGAGGTTTGTACTCACAGAGCTTCAAGACGGCAGGAGAAGCCGTTCGCAATCAACAAGGTTGTTCGGTCGGTGCGAGAGGTGAGGTATTGGCTCTGTCCCCGCTCTCTCTCCCTCCACTCCTCCTCCCGCTTGAGAAAGACCGCCTGCACAACATTGCTAGAATGGCTGGTGGGAAGACTTCATGTGGAACTCGATAACCTGAAACTATCGTTCGAAGGTAGTTACAGGTGTCTTCGCTGGGGTGGTGCAGCTATTGCCCTGCCTGCAAGTCTTCGTCCTTCAGGCATGTAGTCGTCCTCTCGAGCGCTGTAATGCGAAGTAGAGGGAGGAACGCCCCAGCCTGTCACCGAGCTTGCTGAACAATGCGAATCTCATCACTTTGTTGCAAGGTTACAACATGACTACATCCCCCACCACATCTCCATCGCGGATGAGTTGGTCCAGCCGGTTCGGCAAAGGATAAGGAACAAACGCTTGATGTTCTTCCCATGGCCTGAATACTGAGCCTCGTCCGACTGCACGGCCGGGAAGCTCCAACCACCACCTTGGCGATCGAGTTCGGCCGACATTATCCGCAACTCTTTCAATCCCAAGGGATGCGGGCGCACAACAAGGAAACGGCTCTGCACTGGGAGGGCAATCCAACTGTAACACAGGCCGCCAGTGTGTTCGACTTATGCAGGCATGCACGCGACTGACAGGACCTGCCACTTGAAAGTGAATCGCCTTGCAGTGCGGGTGCACGCGATGCAGATACCAGGCCGCCACGTAAGAACGGAATGTGTCGAAGGGTCCGAGGTCCCAGCCCCCGCTTCGGAAGCTTTTGTTCGGGGACGTGGATGGTCCAAAGACCTCCTGGAAGTCATCCTCCTTGGGCTCCCAAAGGGCTGGTATGGCAGCGCGCAGACTCTACACGTGATTCGCAGCTTCCGGCTTCAGTTCAGGATACCCCTGGCGTCAACCGAGATATCCCCCTGCAGAAGACCGGGTGCAAACGACTTCGACCATTTGGGCCTCCAGTTCCCCGATAGCCACGGGTGGCCGCAGCACGCCGGTCGGCGGCCCCGCCAACATGGCGTAGCCGCACTTCAAGAGGGTGGGGCCTATTGAAGCTACTGCTCTGTTGAGGGGCACGTGTATGCGTGTGTTGCCTCCTACAGAAGTGTTCCAGACACCAAAGAGAAGGCAAGACAGAGCAAGTTTTGGGTTCGATTGAAGGGCTCGGGCTTCTTTGTGTGCGATACCCTTACTGTCACTCCGAGTGCTGGTGGCATCCAAAAGTCACTGTTTTTCTTGCATGGCTGAATTTTTGGCAGCGATTCGTCTAAGTTATCTGACGACCTCAACTGCGTAGGTCTGTTTACAGGAGACCGTGACTCTAGGTCCTACGACTTTGGGACCCCGAGCTGCAGCCCGTGACTTAAGGTCCCTGCAGAGGGGGATTGTTGGCACATGGCTCTGCTATGTTTCGGGACTTCCACTGCAATTCCATGGGTCGAAGCGGTGTTTGCCAAATCGTGCAAAGCTTCCTCTGCATGCGGCTGTTGAGCAGGGCAATCACACAAAGTCTTGACGAAAACGAACGATGACCGGACACCACAACGCACAACCTGAATCTTCATCCCTGAACCGCGACCAGCTAGCATAGACTGTCGCCTCCCCGGCTCCCTGCAAGTCGCCACTTCTCGAAGGCTTCCACGACATCCAAAGACAAAGCCTGGCAAAGGGCTCGGGGAGATTGGGGTGCAACAGGCGCTGGAAGCAGCTCAAGACAGAACGCAGACATGTTCTTTGCGACTCTTGCTACTGGTGCCAACATGGATCCTTCTCGTCTCACTCACCCGACGTTCCATGAATGACCACAAGACAATGCGATCATGTGGAAAACAACCCTGCAAGCTCAAGCCAGCCAGGATAACTCGACAGTGGAGCAGAGAGTCCACCAGCTCCCTCTGTGCCTGGCCGGGTATTCAGTACCATCACCACGGCCGTGACTAATCACCACCAGAGCCGGCACGACCTTTAACTGCAGCAACCGGCTTTGCGATGGTGCATCAAGCATGTGTGAGGGTCGTTCTCCAGTGCTGGACTTAACGGCTATCCTCTGAGTCTACGTGGCTGCGCCCTTCCTGGCCTCGCTGGCTTCCAAACGGCCCTCGGCAAAATCACCAGCCAGGCGCTGCAAGCGCCGCAGCGAAGCCTCTCACAAGGGTCGATTGCACCGCAAACTGTGCATCTGCTGCCCCACCCCGGCATGCGTTGGCAGCACACCTCGCGAGAGGCCACCGCATCTACAATCTCCCGCGAAGGTGCTTGAGCCTTAGCTCCGCCGAAACCGTGTAACACCTCAGACCTCCACTGAGAATACTGAGCTCGGACACTACGTAAGACGCAGAAGCGCAGGAAGCCCAGCACTGAGGCCACGCACTTGTCGGCGCGGTCGGCTCATGCAACGCGCCAGTGGCCCAGCACGCACATCCCGCCTGCGCGCGTGGCCGTAAGGTCTGGTAGCCTTGTGCCTCGGAGGGGGCATCACAGTCACCATCCTCATCCTCTTTATCCTGCTCATGCTCATCCCCATCATCGACCTCATTCTCGTCTTCGTCGCTGGTAACGGAGGTGCAGAGGTCGAAGGTGAAATGATGCTCGTAGAGACACTAATACCGATGATGGCGATGATGATGATCATCATCATGATTGTGATGATGATCATGATGCTGATGACGATGATGATGGTGGCGATGATGGTGATGATACGGATGATGATGATGATGATGATGATGGTGGTGATGATGGTGGTGATGATGGTGGTGATGATGGTGACGATGGTGACGATGGTGACGATGTTGGTGATGAAGATGATGACGATGATGATGGTGATGATGATGAAGAGGGGGAGGAAGCCCCCTGGCTCACAGGTGAATGCCCGGGTTTCTTTGTCGTCCGGGGCTTTTCTTTTCCTCTTGGTTGGTGTCTCTTGGGTGAAACATATATGGATGATGGAGCCATGGACCCCACTGCAGCCGAAGACGCGGCGATCGATGCCACAGAGAATACTCCACACGATCATGGCCGCGGTCCTCTACGAGCTGCTGATCTTCTGCCCAAGGGCCCTCCCCCACCAATGCCCGTTGGAGGTGCGACCATGGCCTCCTCTCACAGCGCTCGAGCCTCTGACGATCCACAGCCTGCGCAGGACACAGACGACGACAGTGACGACGAGCCAGAGCGGCGGTGGCCTACGGTCCTTGAAACTGACGAGTCCGGCAGGCAATGCCATGTCCGAGTTGCCGGACCTCACCTGCCAAATGGACGCTTTGCTGAAACCACCAGCGAATCTGCAGAGGACAGTGGCTCCGGCTCCGATGATGGTGGCAGCTCCTCTCGCAACTCCTCAACGTGGAGCGACAACAGCGTGTGCCTGGTGGGACCAGCACTTCAGGAAGCCCTCGGCCACTTCTTGGGTCTCTACCGCATGGAGCTTGCAGCCACTGTTCCGGGAATTACGAGCCGCTCTCAGGGTGCCAGAGTTGGTGCCTTACGGCGCCGACTATCAAGCCAAGATTGGTGGCGGCTGCAGCGAGCAGCACACGCCTCCCTCTCTGGCGAAAGACTGCAGCAATGGGCGGACTGGGAGTATGCTCACACCCACCCACGCCGGCCTCGTCGTGCTCATCGTGCCCGAGACCCTGCAGATGACGATTGAGCTCGTACTGCCCTGCCTCGGATCATTGCTGGTTGCCCGCTCCAGGAGCCACCATGGCAAGCAAGCCCACTCCCCTAAGACCCTCGGTCACCCTGGCCCTAAATCCCACCCTAAGTGTAGACCCCAACCTCAGGATAAGCCTCCTCACAGGAACCTCAGCCAAGTGCAGAGTGGCTCTTTTACGCCCACGGCTGCTGCAGCAGGAGCCACCTCTGTCTTGCGGAACTACTTAGAGCAATGGTTATCACCCCCATTAGCTAGCCCAACCGCTGCTCATAAGCAACTCACCGTGCGTCACTCCGGTCCCAAGTCCGGAGCCTGCCTTACAATGTCTATTGTGTGCAGTCTGTTTCATCAGGCAGGTGGGGTGCGGATTCCTCCTGGCTTCGCGGCAGGAGGGGAACCCGTCGCTACTGCGGCGGGGAAGCATCGCGACTTAGTGCCGCCCCAGGCGCCAGCTACCCAGTTTCCTGGCATACACCTTCCCCGATCAACTAAGCGTTCATTCCGTAGAGCCCGCAATAGAGCACATGCATCGCCCCTCAAGGGCACCTGGTACAAAGGCAAGTGGCACTCCGCAACCACGCTTGGACATCTCCCAAAGCCCACTCCAGACATTCCCAGGTCGACTGCCAAACGCGCGGTGCGCCGCACTACGCTTGACAGGCACCTTCGGATTCTGTCGTGGAACGCAGGGGGACTGACTAGCTCCATGTATCAGGAATTCCTTGCTTGGTGTGAAACTTGTGCTGAGCTTGACGTTGTGGTAGTGCAGGAATCACATTGGCATGAGACTTCTGACTACTATGCCGGCCCTTGGCTAGCTATGCATACGTCGGGACGTTGTGACCCGGCAGGAACACAGGCCTCTTGTTTCTCTTGAAGCGCAAGGCCTTCCAGGACCCCCGCTTCTTAGACATTAATCCAGGTAGGCTAGCTCTGGTTCAGGCCACTCATCGTGACACCCAGATTCCTGTCAGCGTAGTGGGCATCTATCAGCATGTTTGGCGTACACATCTTACGTCTTCCCGCAACAGAGAACTCCGCCAAACTATCTGGGCCCAGCTTGACACCACCCTGCATCGCATACCAAGTCGACACGCCCTGCTGATACGCGGAGACTTCAACTCTACGCTAACTTGTGAGCCGCCACTTGTGGGCAGCGCTGTTCCTAAGTGTTCCTCGCACACGGAGGACGGATTGCAGGCTCTCCTGTATAAGCACTCACTGTGTGCTCTCAACACTTGGCATTGCAAGCCGCACTGTACATATCACTCTTCTAGCGGCCAAACCCAGATCGACTATGTGCTGTCGCGCTGCGCCGACACGGGCCATCACGCCCGTACTGCATACCCTGATCATGCCTTTCCTGTAGGCAGTGATAGACTTAGTGGTCACTTCCCCGTAAGGGTTTCCTATCCGATTCGGCCCTTCTCCTGGAGGCGTACCCGCCCTGCACAAACGCCCGCATACAATGCACAAGCCCTGTGCTCCGCAGCGCGCTCCGGAGCCCCGTTGGCTCAGGAGCTGCAGCACCGAGTCGGCCTTCGGCTACAGGACGTCGACACGTCCGTGCTTTCAACCGCACACCAGCATGTCAATCGCATCCTTCAAGAGGAGACCTGCGCGCTGTTTCCAGCTCAGCCTGCTCCAGACCACCGCATCAGCGCTCAGCCTGCATTTCGTGTCACTGCACGGGCTGTGTGGGGCCTCTACCACGCCTTCAAACGCTCAGGTGTGTGCACCTTCCGCAACATCTTCGCCAAGTGGCGACTTGCCACTCAGTTCGCCAGAGCCTCAAAAGCCCTCCGCCAAAGCAGTCAGCAGCTTAAGAAGCAATTCTTCCAGGGACAGGTTGAAGACGCCGAACTTGCGGCCAGCCGAGGGGATCAAAGAGGCCTGCACCTCATTGTTCGTAGGCTGTCTCCGCACACCCGCCAGCTGGCAGGAAGACTCCGGGACGACTCCGGTCGTCTCCTCACCCGCGATGAGGAGCTAGAAGCCATCGTCCAATATGGTAATGCCACCCTTTGCCAAGCACCATGATGATCACCCGATTCTCCCCCTAGCCCAGGACGTAATCATACCTGCCGCCGATCTGGCAGCTGAGCTGTCCAAACTTGGGCCTGCCAAGGCTGTTCCCAAGCACATTGCCCCTTCAGCAGTCTGGAAGCTCTGCTCTTCTGACCTGCGTGAGGTCCTGAGTCATGCCTTGACTCTGCATCTTCGCCAGGGCACCAGTGCCCCCCTGGACACAGACTGGAAGGACTGCAGCGTGAAGCCTAATAAGCCCCCACACATCTCCTTTCTGAGACCCATAGGGTTATCTAGTCCGGCGAGCAAAGCCCTGGCCGGCAGTCTCCGCACACAGCTGCTAGGCGCACTTGCGCCCTGGTTGTCCTGTATGCCTCAGTTCGCCTACACCAGTAGCAGGGGCACTGCAGATGCTATAGCCAGAGCCCACCGACACTTTGAAGAGGTCACTGAGCTCGTCAGCCGAACCCGTGCCACTCGCTTTCAGCAGCAGGCCGGCCAAAAGACGCGCGGCTGCGCCGGAGGCGTCAGCCTCTCCTTGGATTTGTCCAAGGCCTTCGACGGGGTCACACGTTCTCACATTTACCAGGAAATGAGGAAACAGGGCGTCGATTCATCCGTTATCACAATCGTTCAGCAATTGCACCATCGCGCCCGGTACATCTACCGAGTTGGTGACAGTCAGGGTTCTACCCTCACCACCAATGGAATCAAGCAGGGCTGTGTGATAGCACCTTATCTTTGGAATTTCTTCTCCCTTGCTTTTCTTCTTCTTTTGCGCGATCAGAGGGATTTGTCCTGGATTCAGAGGGTGTTGTCACTCTTCGCTGATGATGCCTGGGGAGCTTGGGTTATTGCCTCGGCGGCTGACTTCCAACAAGCCCTTTCCGACATCACTCTCATCCTTGAAACTCTCGAATCCCTTCATATGATCGTCAACTTTGATAAGACAGCAATCCTTCTTCACCTGGTTGGCAAGGAGTCCAAGAAACTTCGGCGGAACCACACCTTCATGAAGGCGGGGCAGCTTCACTTGCGTCTTTGGGTGCATGGTCGTGAACAAGCCATTCCCATTCGGGATCAGCACGTCTACTTAGGCACTATAGTGACCTATCATAGTCGGCTTGAACGCAACATGGAGCACCGCATCAAGGCCGCCCGTGCCAATTACCAGGGCCTCCGCAAGCTGCTGAACGGGGCTCACGCCCTAGACACGGATCATCGCATACGACTGTGGAAAGCATGTGTCTGCTCCAGCGTTATGTACTCCCAGCATGTGGTCGGAGTGACCGCTAAAACCCTTAAGCGCTTGACTACGGTGCTCACCAGGCATCTTCGTGCCATCCTCCGGGTGCCGGCTCACTTGACGCATGTCACCAATCAAGCCGTGTGGCATCAAGCCAGCCTGCCGATGCCAGGCTGGACCATCCAGTGTGCTCTGCTACAGCATCAAACCAAACTGCAGCAGACAGCCGCATCGGGGACCGACATTACCAGCACTCCCCAAGCTCTTGCACATGTTGACATCCTTGCCGGCCGTCTTGAGGCGCTGCTCCTCGAAGCTGCCCAGACTCTCGCCACCGAGGCGGTAAGCGCACCGTCCATCAGTTGCCCTCACTGCTTTGAGCTGTTCATTTCTGAGAATGCAGTGCGTATACATTGTAAGCTCAAGCATGGTCAGCTCCCCCCCAGGCTTAATCACCACCCTACAGAGTTCGTGCCTGAGCTTCATTCCACGGCAGGCATGCCGGCCTGCCGTCTCTGCCAGCGACAATTCTTCAGGTGGACTCACCTTAAGCTCCACATTGAAACCGGAGCCTGCGCAGCCCTGGGAGGCGACAGCATGATTCGCGCGCCGCCTTTGGAGGCACACGCACCTGCGCCGATCAAACCACCTCCCACCGCGGGACTTGCAGTCTTTGCGGAAGAAAACGTCATGCACCTGCCTCTGATCAAGCGTCAAGCTTTTCTTGCAAGCTTGGGAAACTGGGAAAAGTGGTTGTCTGTGCCTGAGCTGCGCCAGGAGCTCAAGAACTACTGTTCGATTTGTCACATGTGGGTTGCCGACTATCGTCATATGAAGCAACACTACAATCGCATACATGGCCCCGACAACCCTACCCTACTTCCCCGTGTCCTGGACCTTTGCACCTCCTTCAAAAGTCATCTACGACGGGACAGCTCGTGCATTTGGTGCGGCCATCGCGTCGGCGCCCCAAAACGCCACACGCAACAGTGTACCCCCCTAGTGCAGCTCATCCTGGCCGTGCTTCACTGTCAGGATGTACGGGGATCCACTGACGATGGACGCCTTTGCCCACGAGGAGGCCGAGATCTTTGCCAATCTGTGGACCGGGCCGGAGCCTTACCTGGAGGACGGCCGCTCTCAGAAGCGCCAGAGACCGGAGCAACACCGCTGGAGCATGCCGCCAGCCCAGCGACCGAATCAGCCACATCATCGTGGAGGCCCGCCTCCACCACGGCCGATGCATCCACTCCAGAATCACATCAACCTGCTCGGCCGCGTCGTCCTGCAGCAGGAGGACATCATCAGCCGCTTGCGCAACGACAAGAACTTCGTGTTGTTCCTGCGCAACGACGCCAACGGCACACTGGGCACGCTCATGCGCATCTCTCGCGATTGGAAGGCCAAGAAGTCACTGGAGCCGGAGCAGCTCAAATCTCCTCTTCGCACGGTGCTCATAGCCTGCATGATCCGCGAGCTCATGAACCTGGCCCAGCAGGCGGTAGCCACGGAGGAGGCACGCAACAAGCATGTCACCTTGGAATGGCTCAACTCGGAGGGGAATTGGAACTACCGCCGATGGAATCCGGCCGAGCGCCGACTGGAAGTCGACAAGACCCGCTCGCCTCTGCAGCATGCGGAGGCCATACGTCTACTCAACTTCCTCCTGAAGTGCATGACAGGCGACATCGTGCAGCGCTTTGCAGCGTCCAAAACTCTCAACTTCCTCGAGCAGCAGGGAGCCCAGGTCGCCACCTTCCACCTGGAAATCTCTTTGCGCGGTTCCCGGGCGCAAGAAGTGTACGATGCCCTGGACCGATTCACGGGCAGCACACTGATGAATCTCATCGGAGTCTCGATGAAACGGGACACCATGCCGCGCTCTCCTCTGGCCAAGAAGCTTGCGGAGCAAGTCTACCCGAGCCATCAGGGCCCGCGCCCCCTTCAGAGGTAAACTCTTCGGGGTCCGCCGCTGTTCCGTCGGTGCCTTTGATTGAAGCGGCTGCAGCCCCCACCAGTTCAGTCCCGCCTCTTCTTCTCCCCAGGGTTCGACTTCAGGGTGGTTTGAACAGCTGCTACCTCAATTCCTTCCTCTACCTTCTTGCTGCTGCCCTCTCGGCCTGTAAGCAACAGCACTTGCTCCCTCAGGCTTTTTGGGACAAATCAGGGAAGCCACTTTGGGCCGCTCGCCTGATGGGGTTTAAGCTTCTGGGTTGGCCGGAGCCTCAGCGGCAGCATGACGTCGCAGAACTCATCGACTTCTTGCATTGTCGCATCGTCTCGGCTGCTAATACTGCTTGTTGCGAGGCGCGTAGCCTGACTGCAGAGGGCATGCAAGTTGCTGAGCTGGCTCCGGCAACAAAGTGCCTTGTCCTGGTCAATGACCCGGCTCGGAAATTGCCTGACGTGCAAGAGCTGATTTCGGCCTGGCATACACAGATCGGTCTTCAAGCCTACAATAGTCCGCCACCCTGGCTCTTCATACAACTCCCGCGCTTTCACTATCATGCCCCGGGTTGGCCTATTAAGCTTCAGCATGCCTACATCCTGCCCAGCACACTCAGAATACCGGTCTTTGCTACGGCTGATAACATGCTTGTCCGGTGGGAGCAGTATAGGGTCATAGGATTCATACAACATCACGGCTCCGCACCGACTGCTGGCCATTACACGGCTGTCATACAGATGCATCATGACCAGCTCTGGCTCTTGGATGATGAAAAGGCTCCCTGTAGACTGACAGATGCTCAGGTTGATCACGCCAGCACCAATGCGTGTATTCTTGCCCTCGTGCATTGCAGCGCCTTTCATGCTCCAGCTGGCTTGCTAGCAGCTCAGTCAGACGATGGATTCCAGCACTTCGCGAACCCTGCGGGAAATGGACCTCGACTGGATCTCCAGCAGGCTCAGTCTTCTGCAGATGCAGGTGCAAGGACTAGCGATGGGACTGGAACAGCTGCAACAGGCCCACTCCCGGCTCTCGGATCGTGTTCAGATCATGGAGGATCGCTTAGCTAGGAAAGAGGCACATAACAAGTGCCATTCGAGATCCACTCGCCTCGTCATGCTCTCTTTGGAAACACTTGACGACTGACAAGAGGATCGCAAATTGTTTAAAAGGCGCTACGGCGCATCATTTTGTCTTAGCTGGCGCCACATACGTGGCTTTAGAGCCTGCCATCACGATTGGCCGGTCCCACACGTGGACTGAATGGCACTCGCAGGACGAGGGGACTTCTTTCGCCGCGTGGTAAGAAGAAGAGGGGGAGGATTACAATGATGAGGATGATGAGGCTGAGGCTGCTTTTGCAGAGTAGAAGCCGAATCTCAACCAACCGCCAACCTTCACATCTCTTAGGGGTTCAGTTTTTGATAAACCGATGGCTCTGCATGCTGCTGCGAAGCACCAGCGAGGAAAACCGTGGTCTGGCTTCAAGCAACTGAACTTTTTGTCCTCTCGCCTTATTCACTAGTCTAGCGGGAGCGAACGCGCCGCCAGAATGGAGAAATTCGGGTTGGCTGAACGTCCAAACTTCTGAATTGCCACGAACTCTACGAACACCCAGCAAACCGCAGCAGACCAGTTCAGTAAGTCTGCAACCTCGAAAAGGAATCGCAAGGGCCTTGCCTTTGTCACCATGAGAACCCCTCCTCGCAACAAACCGCATGAGTCTGCAATGTCAGTGCAACACCGGTAGCCATCGGATCCTCCATTTGTGGCAAGCGGAAAACGCCGAAGAGTTGCCGCAGTAGTTTGCGAAGCTTTCCGTGCGGAAAGGAAAGGGCCATGTAGCCGAAGATCGAATTTCGAGGAAGCCGCTGAGAGGCGGCTGCTTTGCGGGAGCAGCCACTCTCAGAGCCACTGCAAGTGCAGCTGTACGGCAGATTCCTCGATAGGCTGTACATCATGCACTAAGTAACTATTGCTTTCGCACACGTCCGTGAGACGATCCTCGGATTCGCCGCCATCACGCCGTGGACCTCGGCTTGGTCACATATCATATCTCATGATGCTGATCTCTATATGACTAGTCGGGTTCTGCTCGGTACTGACTGTCACTTTGCTCGTGGAGTTCTCAACACACTACTCATGACTCTAGTTGTTATTCCTCCTCTGCAGCATAAGAGGAATTACAACAGCAGTAAGATTTACGGTTGATATTCTGCATTTTGTATTCGGACCGCATAAGTGCTTTTCATTGCTGTTCAGGTTACTATACATGCTAGTGCACTTCTTCTTTGCGGAAGCCTTGCTCGGTGCCTCGTTCATACACACCTGATTCCTGGCTGCCTCACTGAGTCACACCTTCGCTTCTACAGCAGCTTCACTGAGAATTCATGTGCGCGACCGAGAAGCCGTGCTGCTCAGCGGACCTCCATGAGAAACTCCTCGAATCAACGTGGAACTGAACAAAAAGTTCAGGTATGTATACAGCACCTTGCTGCATTCTATAGTATATTAGTGCAAATTTGCATGCTATGCATAATATAGTACATAAAAGTATATTTGCAGTCTGGCACGAGCCTTACACGAGCCTCCCTCGAACGAGAAGCCCTCTCTCCTCTCCAAGAGCCAAGCCTCATCATTTCCTGGACCCACCTAAACACACTATAGCATAGCTCTTCTATGTATTGTACTATAGACTTTAAAGTATATATCAGAGTACATAGTAGCATACTGTCCTATGTCTTTTCTATCATTGTATTATATTACAGTGAATCAAGTTGTTTTCAACGGGCTACTCGGAGGCTGCTTGACGAGCTCGATGAAGGCACGCTCTGCGGGGAAGGCCGGGCCCTTGCCTCACGGAACATAGAACATCATATCATTCAATATAAAGGTATAACTCCGCATAATGCAATATAGCACAACCCAATCTGCTGTATTATGCTATGCGTTACGTGCTTCCTACGCGCCTTGTTTCTCACAATCTTTTACTCATCCTTGGTGCCACCTGCTGGCCTTTGCACGTGCAAAGCCCTAACATTAGTACCGGTACTACAAGCAGTCTCCTCACGGACCGTGCTAGGTTGTTGTTGTTTCTCTTACTTTCTCTCTTGTTTAGCTGAGTCTCCCACCCCCTACTGTTGGTATTTGGCATCCTCTTGTCTTACTGTCTTCACCGTCATGACTCGTATCACCCTGACGACACTTGCAATGACCATTGCGAGCACGATCTCCGTCTTTCCTATCCCTGATACCCGTACCAGCCACAACGTACAAGCTTTGCGACAGTTCTTCGAACATTGCTTCAGCATGTGCTTTAGTACTTGTATTGTGATTGTTGTTGGCATCTCTACTGTTGATGGATCCTCACCCATGCGAGCACGTGACATCCCTTGTGGCCATGGCTACTACAACAGCTTTCTCATCGGCACTGCTGGCAGTTGCAGCCAATATTATGTTGTTGTTGAAAGTGCCATTCTTAACACGTTGAGTCTTTGTCATGGCGACCACGGCTGCTTCTTGCTGTTGCTCTGCTTCCGATGACACGCCATGATTATTGTGACTGTGCAGTCGCTTTGATGCTGGCGGTTCTCACGAGAGTTTCGAGCATCGATGTCCTGCTATCACAACAATCTGTGCCCCTTCCTGCTCCTGCCCCTATTTGGCGTGACAACAAGCATTCACACTACAGGTCCCTATACTACTATGGCTCTTACTAGATTTCTGTGACGGTGAACCCGTCCTAGGCTTATGAACGCAATACTTTTCACATCAGCCGCTGCCACTACGGTCAATCTTACTTTCGATAGTAGTGATATTGATCAAATTTCTATCACCTGTGAGCTGACGCCACAAGAATCGTCGCGGCCAATCTTGAGTAAGCACAACAGCAGCGGCCACGTGATCATCACGGGAACATCACTAGTTCGTATAGATACCTGTGCTGATGAGCATCAAAGACATTCCTTTATAGATGCCGTTTCTTTGAGCTTGGATGAGTAAGGCTGGCCACTTGTAGTTGTAGTTATTGTAGTTGTTGTTGTTGCTGCTGCTCCTCCTGTGTTCTGCTACTCTTCTTCGTTCATGCGCTCTGGCGAACCGCTTACCTGCATACCACCATTTACGTCCCAAAGCCGTATATGGTCATGGTAGTGGCCATCTAGTTTTGATAATCTTACGACAATTGCTGCAGCCACTCTCGTCTTGTAAGCCCTTGCACTAGGTTGCAGCTTGCAGGCTTCCTCCTCCTCTTCCATTTGGGGGTTTCCGAAAATAGGGGACCCTAATATAGTACCCTAAATGATAGGATCCCTATTATAAGGACCCCAAAATAAGGTACCCTAATTTTCTGAAACCCCCATTTCGGGCCCCCCGCCTGCAGCTCTTGCCTCGCTGCCTCCACACGTCGTGCTGCGGCGCGAGTCATGGCCGGCTCCTGGGTTTAGGGTTTAGGGTTTAGGGTTTAGGGTTTAGGGTTTAGGGTTTAGGGTTTAGGGTTTAGGGTTTAATTAGGGTTTAGGGTTTAGGGACGAAAGATCTAAACTTAAAGGGATGGGTGCTTCTGGGCTTTGGGGCTTGGAGCGTTTGGGAGCTTCAGGGCTTGAGAAGCGGAGTTGGGGGTGAGGGCACGCAGATATTGATATAGCCTCCATATATATCCGGAGGCTCAAACCCTGAAACCCTGAAACCCTACAAAACCCTAAACCCTGAAACCCTACTAACTCTACTAAACCCTAAACCCAAAACCCTGAAAGCCTGAAACCCTACTACACCCTAAACCCTGAAACCCTACTAACACTAAACCCTATACCCAAAACCCTGAAAGCCAAAACCCTGAAAGCCTGAAACCCTACCAAACCCCAAACCCTAAACCCTGGTAAACCCTGGTAAACCCTAAAACACTCCGTCTTAGCCACAGGCCAAGCGGCATTTCCGAGTTCGGAGCCGAGCTGGGCCCTGGCAGCTTGGACCTGGAAAGGCGTGAGAAAATTAAGAAATATATAACAGAAAATATCGTATATAATTATATAGTATGTAACATATAACATGTAGCATATAGTTTATAGCGTATGCATAAATATATATATATATATATGATTCATCATATTCTGGGGCTTTGAGGGCTTAGATTTTGAGGAACTCATAGGGAGATGCAGAACCCGGATCTGTATATAGAGAAACACGCCTAGGGCTGAGGAATCAGGGAGGCTTCTCAGGTTCGCAATGTATTCGGCGAGGCGTCGGGTTTGAAGCAAGGAAACAGCAGCGATGATGATGATCCCGATGATATGTTTGTCAGCCATGAACTTCTTCTATGTCAAGCTGTAAGCGCAAAATGTTACAAAGGATCTCAGAATTGCCCATAATGATGCCATAATGTTCAACTGAAAGCCACCCTCAGCTCTGCCGCAGCATTGGCCGCCACAGCCAGCTTAGCCTGAACAAGGGAAGGCTGCAACATGTTCTCCGATACTGCTTCTCCGGGAAAGAGGGGATGTCTCAATGAAAGCACGTCCAGGACCAGAAGCCTGACCTTTAAAGACTGCTGCGGGTCCCAGCACTGGCTGCACAGGGGAGCTGCATAAGCCCTGCGAGCTTCAAGGCCCGATGCCTCCTCACCGCCGCTGAACCGCTGCCTGGCGAGCTGCGGACTTCCGAACAGCAGCGAAGAGCAACTGGAAAGACGATGAATCTGGTTCTAACACCAGACGCCACAATCCGAGCCGAAGACTCGCGAACCGGGATCTGGGGCTTAAAGGGCTGCCACCCTGAGATGAGGAAAGCCTCTGCATTTCCCGCACGGTTCAAGAGCAACAGATTTCCGACAGCTGGCCATCCTACCGGTATTCTGTTGACGAAACCCTCAAACCCGAAGCCCCAAAAGTCGAAACCCCAGATCTTCGAGCCTACCGTCACTAACGGGCCCTGTGATGCCGGGTTGCATGATGTTCTCGTCGACCCAGGGTGCCATGGCCAGGGCAGCACCAAAGCGCAGCGGCAGCAGCAGCCTCGCCACCTGAACCGCTTTTAGCGACTCGTACGGTGGTATAAGTGCCGGACTATGTTCAAACAGTGGTCAATAGCAGTAGACGTCGCAGTCGGCATGGTGGCGGTGGTGGGTGGCAGCATCTCGCAGTACCAGTACAACCTCATGAAAATGACGACAACCACAATTTCGAAGCCGACCACAACGACGCCCTGTGTCATTGTTCTCAGTCTTCTTCGGCGTGCTTTGGTTGCCGCCATTGTAGTGTGTACACACACAAGTAGGTACTTGCATGAATGTATGCCTACGAAACTACGTTGGGACGTAGGTAAATATATACACATACATATTATGCAAATGCGCATGTTCACATTCTATTGTTCCATGGTCACATTCACAAGAACCATCTGTGTTTCCTTTTGCAATGAATGCAACGATGAGAACTCTGAGATACTCTGAGGATAGGAATCGCAACTATCTAAAGGCGTGAGGATGTGTGTGTGTGTGTGTGTGTGTGTGTGTTTGTTTATACTGATACTCATTCCTATGTTCACCTAGTTCGTTGTCTTTGTGCGCAAGAACTTGTTTCTTCTGAGGTGTTGCACACAAGTCGGAATTGCACATGGCTAGCACAACGCAAAATGCTGGGTTGGGCCGTGCACACTCGACGCCTCCACTAGCATGGGGTTCCTTATTATTGTTCCAGGAAAATATACCCCACAACCCTATTCTACTTCTTGTGGCTTGCATTTTCTGGACTTGTGGGGATGCCGGAGACTGTCATCCAGAGCCCGGGGGCCTCTAGTCAGCCCGGAGGCGTTGTTGCGCTCCTCAAATACTACTATGGGGGTTTCCGAAAATAGGGGACCCTAAGATAGCACCCCAAATAGTAGGATTGACAGACAGGCAGGCAGGCAGAAGGACGTTGATAGATAGGTAGATCGATGCATACAGTTATGTTGGTTACCCATGTACATCTTGGGACAACAAAACCACACACAACACGAACCGAAGATCAGCAGCAACTACAATTACAACTTTTTATGCCGGGCTTTGCCCCCGAAGATGCTGACTGGCCACGTTGGAGGCGGCAAAGACCATGCCAAAGACCTGCTTCTGCTGTCCGTGCTAGGTGCTTTAGCGGATCAGGTTAAGTTGACATCGGCGCCAACTCCGGGCCGTGGCGACAGCGCCAACATCCGACCGGCTGCAGGAACCAGGCAATGCATCGGACATCACGATTCGTACAGCAGAAATGCCTCAAGGAAAAGCTAGAAATGGCAAGCTGCGGCGGCACTCTCCTCCGGCTTGCTGAAGTCGGGCCAGTGGCCAGCAGTTTGAAGGTAGATGAAGACTTCCTCAGCACCGGCTTCACACTTCTGCGGCCAGAGCAGGACAGGGGCCCAGTTTCGGTGACAGAGCCGGGGCTTTCTTTTCATCTCCTGGCCTGGCCTCCCTGGGACAACCTGGGAAGGCCGAAGGTGTTTTTCTTACTGGAGGTTTCCCTTTCGTCCCAGAGGCGGTGGGGAAGGCGACCGCCCAAAAGATCAGCTCCTTCGCCGAGGTAATGCCACAAGGACTCTGCACACAGGTTTATCACACTCATCCCTCTGCGCCAAGAGGCAGTAATCACGTAGGAGAGGGTCCCTGACAGGTGAGCATGTAAGATCTCTGTACTTGCAGTCACCCTGCAATGGCAATTCATGAAGCGTCCTGCTGCTCCGTACTTCTTCACATCATCCATGGTGATGTTGCCTCAACGCGATGTCACAGTGCTACATGCGGAGCCACCGGAGGAAGGGCTTTAGAGAAGCAAAACCGAGCGGCCGTAGGTGGAAGGGTTCCACACATCGAAGGCTTCCGCTTCTGTGGCCTCTGCTTGACGGGCGCATCGACCTCCGATCCACTCAACATCACTCAACACTCGAAAGTAACCGAACGTGATGCTTCGTGGGGCTGGGGCTTCAAGCCCATCCCTTGCAGGTCAGGGCTCTCCGGTTCCAAGACCAACAGCCAGCAATCCCAATCGATTTCACTCCGTCGACAAGGCTTACGAGATAAGATTGGATTTAACGCCGACCCTGTGCGCTTCAGGGAAATCGCATGGCCTTCGAGAGATGTTCAAAAGGAGACATTTCGCTTGCCGAAGTCTGTGGAAGCTTCCCCAGAATCCAACATGTAGCAATGTGGCTGCCAACCACTAACCACTTTAGAGCATCACACCACGCTGCGGCCGGCACATGCTTGTAAAAAGTCTTGCGATAAATCCAACGCTTGTGACATGCTTGAGCTCTCGGAGACTTGTACTCCTGCAAAACTCACCTTGGCCACAAAACTCGGAACGCCCCAAACACACGCCTCGTCCCCGACGCGTGAAGGCGACGGCGGCACCAACGACAGCCCAGCTGCCCACGACCTGAGCCCCAAAAAATTACCGTTTCAGGTTACATGCCTCGCGACCCAGTGCAGTGGCGATGGCACATAACCTGTTGATCGTACCATAACCGTGCTGCACCTCTCAACTTGGAACATCGGAGAGCTCGACTGTTGTGGCCTTCTGTCAAGCCGTCTGTCGGATACAACTTGATACAACTGTACCAACAAGTGGTTCTCCCACGCTAGGGTCAGCACCGCCGCAGCATTCAAGTTCTCTCGTAGAGGCTGCTGCTTCGCCACATTCGCTGAGTGAAGTGGAACTGCACCGAGTGAGTGTTGGACTCTCTGGAAGGTGTAAACACAGAGGTGTCAAAGAGCATGTGCGCTTCAGGTTTCGTTCATGTCGAATGGGAGCCAGATCTGGAGATTGAGGAGCTTCTGGTGTCGAGAGGCTCAGTCTTTCCCCATCAGCAACCTGCTGTTTTGCGGAGCAAAGGAGTTAACACATGCTAACACCACAGAAGTGCAATCTCAAGCATGAAACCGAAAAACACGCTTTCTCACAAACCCGGGATCCTAAATCTCAACTCTCAATGCTCAGCCCTGCACTCTTCCCAGCCTGTGGAGGGACCCACAGTGCGGGTGCTTGGCGCAGAAAGGAAAGCCTTCAGGGTTGGTCGAGGCGTGTGCCACGTAGCATGTTTCTTTTTTCTCGGAAACAGCAGGCTCGATGGGTAGAGCATGGAGGTTCCAACTCGAGTCTTGAGACGCGGGGTCAACAGGGTTACAGGGTCACAGGATATGAGGACCAATCTGAATTACACGAGGATCATTCGGAGACTTGTCCAAACCACCCTTCTTCAGGTTTCTCTCTCTCTTCCTGCAGGCCTCCATAGCGGGTGGAGCAGGATCGGCAAGTTGAGACTGTACGCTGAAGCTTTACGTGCAGCATGTCATGCACAGCAGCACAGGCTGACATGAATGGAACCTGGAACGACTTGCATGATCTGCTGGGCTTTTCTGCATTTCGTCGTATCCGACACGTGCTACAAGTAGCCATAGCCGTAGGTTGATTGAATTTGAAAGGCCTGGCGAGAGGCCGAGTTCGGGCAACTTGCATGGTTGTCGTCCGAAAGCCACAGCGCCTCTTGTGGACATAGTCATAGGCGACCGGGCTTCGAAATGTGGGCATGGCCCCCGCAAGCCTCCTTTGGCATCTGGACAGATCATATGTTAAAACTTCAAGCAAGCGGCGCGGCGAAGGTATTTCAAGCCGGCAAAATGATGGTCCCAATGGAGCCTGGACGGGCCCTGCTTGTGGCATTCCTTCTCTGAACAAGGTGGTGATGCTCCGTGTTGGCTCCGTATAGCTACTTTCGTGTAGGCTGACCCTGTACACGATTGAGCTTGATCCGAAAAAAGTGCCAGCATAAAGGGGAGTCGAACCGAAACTAGCACGTGCCATAAGATGCAGGGGTACCAATCCAAGATGGAACCTGGTGAATTCGCATGCCGCAAATAAATTGAATGCAGACCGAATTCGTCACCCCGTCACTGCCCCTCCCTGTGCAGACAACATACTTCTGCTGCAACAGACGGAGACAATAGCTCTATTGCAGGTCCGCTTCCTCCAATTCAGAGTCTGCAAGCACCTGTGACTGACCTTGGGAGCGAGAGTGGCAAAACGCGGTACTCGGTTACTCGGTGCGCTTACCTGTGCTCCGGGTGGATCTGACACTTCTGGGAGCACTTAAGTCCCTGGCGCACAGAAGCCCGCTTCCGGGATGACCACTCCTTCAGGGCAAACTGCAACGTCAAACCACAGCACTCCTTGAGGATCCTCCAACAAAAGCCGAGGAGCGAAAAGCTACCCAAACCCTAGACTTCCTGAACAATGAGCCCTAAACTTAGGCTAAACATATCCATACCCTGATCTGTTCGGATCCTCCACGTTGCTCGCGACGGAGCTCCGTGGCGAGGACCGCAGCGACAGGCGGAGACCAGCTCTTCGGCCGCCGAGCTTGTCCTATAAAGGTAGGGTCCCAATTAGAGGTGTTTTTTGAACGCCTTTTTCCACTCGTTGGAGCATCCTTAATTGGGTTTAGGGTTTAGGGTTTAGGGATGTTTCAAAGGAAAATAAGAAGGTGAGGGATATAGCTCATATAGGTCAGGAAGTCCAGGAACTATGCTTCAATCTTAGGTGAAGCCGACTGGACGAGGTTTTGCTGTGAAAAACACCTGTGCCACGAAGAACAGTTTCTCCTAGTTCCTCACGAAGCGCTGGCCGTATCGGTTCATGTCACGAGTGCAGAGTAAAGAATCACATGGCTCGTCTTCTTCCGTGAAATTTGGGGGTTTCCGAAAAGAGGGGACCCTAATATAGTACCCTAAATAGTAGGACCCTTATTATAAGGACCCCAAAATAAGGTACCCCTTCTTTTCGGAAACTCCCATTTACCTGTGTTTTGACGGGCCACAGCAATGTCGGCCAGCAGTCGCTCCAGGTCATCGAAACCTGGAGCAAGCATCCAGAATCTGAGACCGCGGCACGCCCATGTATAGACAGGAAAATCCACGCAGAGCGCATCGCAAGATGGCAGTGATGAGCAGTTTCGATGTTGCTGAGCTAGTGGCTGTAGGATTTCAAGCAGGGAATGCATGCAACATCTATTGGAAGAGACACAATTCGGAAGTCCGAAATCCGCGTTTAGCTGATCCGAACAAACCCAGCAATGCTTTCAGCTCGAAGCGATGATTGTGTCAATGCTGCTCTACAACTCCAGCATCAAACCCCTGCAAAGCCAATGCCAACTTCCGGTTGCGCTCTCGCTCCATGCATTCCGAAACAGAGCCACGGCAGCCAGAACCTTTCTCGGACAGCACGAGAAGCGTTTTGAAGCCGTCTTTTCGAAGTTGTCGAATTCTGATTCCTGGCCAGTGCTCGCAATTGGCACAGGTGCTCTACCGACGGTGCCTAACGTCAAAGACTGTCATGCAACGGCTAGCTACAGCTTTTCGCCGTGTGGGTATATGCCAGAACGGAGACACAGAGAGAGAGAGACAGAGAGAGAGAGAGAGAGACGGATGTAGTATGTATGATATACATATATAGTATGGTTGGTTCAAGAGAATCCTAGAATCCGAGAGAGCTGGCCCAAGCCCCCCCTGTGGAGGCCTCGCTGTCGCGCAGCTCCGGCCAGGGCTCGTTCGGGGAAGCCAAGCCTCACGGAAAGCGCGGGGAGGTCAGGGGAGGATAGGGACGAAGGGAGGTGCAAACTCACATATATAAAAACGAGCTGCACTCGAAAGGTTCCTGGTCTGCAAGGTCTTGAACAGAGCAAAGCTAGAGTCAAGAGGAGTCCGAGCTGAAAGAATATGAAAACAGTAGAAAGGTTCTCAGTCGCACCAACCCTGAGCTGAATGGGGCAGTGCACCTCCGTAAAGCTGCATCGGTAGCCCGCTGGAGCCATCAAATTCTTCGAGCCTGTCTTCGAGACAACTTGCCCTGGCTCTCAAGACTCAAGACAACATCAAACATCAAACACCCATGCGGTCAGGCAGAAAGCTGGTGTAGGTAGTGAGACTCGGATGGTAATGGAAGCATTTTATAGTTCGAGAAGATCGGAAGCTAATGTGTTCGCAGTGTGAGCTTACAAGAACCTCGCTGGCACGGACAACAATATCTTGCGGTCGTCGCAACAGACAACAACCAACAGACTTCCGTGCCAAGGGTCGTAGGTATACCTCCTCGCGGCCCCGGGTCAGATGCATCTAGAGGACAGGGTGCGTCCTCGCAGCGGTTGGCAGAAGTCTCCATGCAAGGGCTGGGCCGGGCATCATCTGTGATCTGCCCTCCTTATCCCCTGTTTACAACGCAGTCTGCCACTCGCAGGGCGCAGTCCAGGTTCAGGCTGCGGATGAACCGTTGCCATCTGCTTTCCGAGATGAGGGACAAGGCCTGTCACCGTGGAGATTTGTCGGTTAGCTGAAGTGAAATTGCATATCTCGGTGCAGCATGGTCGAGCCCCGGGGAGAAGCGACTCACAGGCTGAGTGACTCTGGGGCCTTTCTGGAACATCGCAGAAGAAGTTGTGAAGTTCAGGCCCTTCAGCCAAGAGGCCGTGTCGAAGATGTTGCTTCCTCGCTTCAGCCGGGCATAGCCTAACGCATCCTTGAAGCTGGCTCCGAAGCGCTGGCACAGCTGCGCAACCTCAGAAGCGGGGCCGCAGGAGCGAAGGCCAGCAGAAGCCGAGCCAAACCGAGCCCACGGCCATCAAGTTCATGAGGAAGACATGCCAAAAGCCGGCGAAGGCCAAGAGAAACCAGGCCAAGAGAGGCTCAGAGGCCGCAGCAATCTCTTCGAAGCTATTGGCACTGTAGGTCTTCACGGCCACTGCGAGCAGGGACTGGAAGGCAGATGGAAGGCTGCGGAAATCTCGAAACTGCACGCCGAAGCTGCTCCCGGTCTGGGGCAGACAGGCCATGGCAGACGCAAAGGAAGCCGTCAGGAAGGCAAGAATACAGCAGTACACGAGCATGTCCCACCACAAGCTGGCCACGAGCAGCACAAAGCAGGAGAGATGGATGTTGCCTCGGCCGCAATGTATCTTTCAAACTCACGCATGTGCATGGCAACAAGGAATCTTTCCGGTGTTTGTGAAAGGGCGTGCCTGCTCCTCAATCAAAGTCTAAACCACCACACCCAACTACCGTGTTCTGTTCCTTTTGCGTTCATGCATCTTCGTCTCAAGGAACTACATGCACCTTATTCTGGATTGCTTCGGTGTCAAGACCTAGGCAGAGTGGACCAAATTGATCTTGCTGAATGTCGAGACAAGCTGTAGCTTTCTTTTTGTTGTTCATGCTCTCCTTTCAGTTCACCATAGCTCGCGATTTGCTGTCGTTCGAGACTATTTCAGCCTGGCGAAATCATCTGGTCATTGCACTGACTGTCCTTTTGCTAGTCTAAGGCTTCGGTGCATTCAGGTTTTAACGTTCCGGGCTCTGCTTTTGTCAACCAGCAGCACGGCACGGAGAGCAGTCCATGGAGCACTTGTCTCACCAGCCGGCGGTAGCGAGCAGGCGATGCTAAATCCCAGTGGCACCAACTGTTCTCCTCTTCGCAGTTTCTGCTCTCCGCTGTCCCTGCCCTGCTGCCCTGTTTAAGGTGTCCCAGCTCCATGGAAGGCCCTTGCACACCATCCCCAAACCTGGAAGGTCTTTGCATTCGTCTGCTCTGCGGTTGTCTTCATGGCATGCTCACAAAAAGGTAGGACGCACAGCTAAAGCCTGCTGCCTATATCTTCCTGTTGTTTTGCTGTTTCAGGCGCCAACACCGCCCCATTCTGCTGCACCGCGTGTGAAAACCTTAGGCATGTTCTTGAAGGTGGCATGCTCACAGCTGAGCTGCTGTGAATGAGTTCAGAGGTGAGGACGAAGTAGAGCAGCATTGGTATGCCTGAGAGATCTGAGAGTACAACGAAGACTCACGGCTCAGGGGCCGGATGATCTAACCACTGATGCCACTTCTGCTGCCGCTGACATGGCCACTACTGTTAGCCGCTCGGGAAACCGGTCGGTCTGTCTCGATTTAAATGCCGAGGCACATGAGACTCGTCGATGCCAGCTCTCAACATCACAGAGGCGCTGAGAAAAGTGACAGCATTCCAGAACCTGGCTGCAGCTGTTCTCGACCTGTTTTGTGCTTTCGGCAGTTCTTTTCCAATCGGCACTCGTCGTTTAAGCTGGAGATAAGGTCGTACTATCTTGCCAGGTGTCCAGTCATGCTTCCGACCAGTCTAGTACCTCCAAACCTGGATCCCCTGTTTCGACTGTGCCACCTGACCGATGCCGGCAATTCCACTGCAAGGCAGAACAGAGCTAAAACGAAAGGGAACAGCTGAGTAACATGCTCCGCATGACTCGGAAAACGCAATTCCTCAAATCCTTAAGTGTCGATATCACGCCTAGCCGCCGGGGAAAGCTGCTGCACGGCTAGACAGTTCAAGGTTCAGAAAGTTCATCCTGTCTTCGACAGGTACCACGGTGTTCCTAGGTCCTGCGCTGCCTCTACATGTTTGTCAGAATGCACAGGTGGCACCATGCTTTACAGCCCGAGCTCGTGGAGTGGCTGGGGCGAAGGGATCGGTCCTCACCGGCGGCAGGAGGAAGTGCGCGAACTCCTCCTGGGCCACTTCGCCGCTCAGGTCCTCATCCATGGCACGCAAAATGAGCAGCAGATCCATCCTCTTCATTTTGGGGAAAGCCCGCAAGATGCAGTACTCGAACTCTGTAACGCTGAGGGAGTCATCGCCGTCCAGGTTCCATAGCCGCCACACCGCACTCAAGGGGTCGATGTGGTGTCCCTCCAAGATACTTTCATCATGGTGATCCTGTAAGGCGACCCAGTCTTGGAAGGACCTGAAAGTGATGCATCCGCTTCCAAAGCCGGCGAGGATGAAGGCCTTGTCAAGCATGGCTTCCTTCAGATCTGGGTAGGCCCTGCGGACCATCAAAGAGAACTCTGACTTGCTCAGAATGTTATCACGGTCCTTGTCCGCCATGAAGAAGCTGGCCTGCAGGACCTTTTGCCTCAGTGCCTCGATGACATCGTGATCAACCACCGGAATCATTTTTGGATCAATCTTCTTCGGCAGGATGCTTCGGCGATTTCCCGAGAGCTGCTTCGCTTCACACTTCTTCTGGCTTCCGAGGTACACCATGGGCTAAAACGGTCAGGGCCCCTTGAGCATGCATCTACCACCGTTGAGCTCTCGAGCCAAAACACATCGGCTTCAGTGCACACAATGAGAAGTGATCAGGAGCATCCGAGTTATCGGCTTGAATTCTCAACAACGTCCGCTGGTGGGATGAACTGGCATGCTAGTGGTCTTCGGGTCATGCAAGCCGAGCAACCCAGGGGTCGTATCGAAGACAGTGCAGTACTGGCTCCATGCAAAGGAGTGCCTGAGATGATGGAGTATCTCTTGATCCAGTGCCAGCTGTATGGAAGGAACCCTGCTGGGATACGTAAGCTCGAGGAAGACTGCAAGGCTGGCAAGAGGCAGCGGGAGACTGAACTGGACCGCCCATCATCACTCTTTTCAGACGAACTCCCTCTCTGAGTTTTATGCCAAGGAGCAAGCAGATGCAGCACCAAGATGGCTTCCACAAAATCCTTGAAAGATCTCGTAAGGTAAGCCGGTAGCGGCACGCAGCAGTTCTTGCGGGTGTCCTCCAACACAGCAGCACGTTTGTGTATGGCAGGCACTTCAGCCAGACAAGGATGGCTCTTCCCTGAAGCCTGAAGGGTTGCCTGTGACTCTCCAACATTGCTGAACACTTCTGGCAGCCCCACCTTGGCAGCCAGTGCACTGGCGAACATGTAAGCATGTTTTGCCAGTAGCTGCCCCAGGCTGATGGCGTAGGTGAACAGCCGGCAGCCTATGACCTGGAGTGGACGGAAGGCATGGAAAAACTATGTAAAAAAGCACGCAGAAGGCCAGCAGCAAACGAAATCCAGCGCTGACAAAAGAAAAGGAAAGCGGCCGCCTCGCAACTCAAATCATGCGTTTGCTCTGCCTTGGGAGGAAACCGCCGTATTTTTGAGACAGGCGTCGACAAAGCGGGCGGGGCCGTCGTAGTCGATGCTTGGAATATGCTGGAAGCCGATGATGAAGCAGAGCAACGAGAGCACAAACCTCGACACACCAAGACGCGGCTGCATGCACTGGTCGGTTTGGGGCCTAGACTGCTGACGGAATTCCCGCAGGTGAAGGGAAACATCTCTCGCGTCAGCCACACACCCACCCACACACACGCGCACACTGAGACTCCTGAAACGATGCATAAACAAGCCTCCAATCGAAAACTAGCTGACACCTCTCTCTGCCAGCATAGTCTGTGATTATTGAATGTTCAGGCATTTGTCCATGACACGATCGTGGACGCCGCACAGATCTGTCCCACGATGCACAGGCCGCACCCGAGCACGCCGGTGGTGCGACGAGCCAATTCAATTACATGCGAGGAGTCAGAAGGATGGGGACTGTATCAAGGCCAAAGAGGACCTAGTTTCAACCAAGCTTCCCGTGGCTTCATGTTTCCGACGCTGTCTCTACTGTTTCAGGATTTGCAAAGTGCCAGGCTTCTCCAAAGCTCATGAATCAATAAAGAACCTCGGCAATCCAGAACATGCTAAACGGAACAGAGAAGCTGAAGCAAGTGAAACAAGGCCGACCGGAATCGTCCTGCCTACCCCTGCGCTGGTGCGCGGAGACAACATGTGTACCAGGTATTACATGCCCACACCCGTGACTCCAGCATTATAAACCATCAAAATCTGGATGAGTGTTTCGGCCCAGGTAACAGCACTTTCGAGTACAAGAACGCAGCCCCACAAATGCGAGACCACAGCAGGTCCGACACGAAGATGGCGCAGGGATGACAGATCACCACCGGGTCGCTGTGCCTGGGTCGGGAGGGTACGATACACAAACTTTGGAATGGCTGAATACCATTGCGTGAGAGCGTCTTTATCTTAGTCGGTCTTAGTTCATTTTGTGGGGTGCTTGCGGTTGTCGTGCCGAGCCTGTGCAAATGATAGCGGGTGAATCTTGCCCCGCGAAAAATGAGAACGGAGCCGACAACCACCAATCCCGCGAAGTGGCTTCCCAGGGCAGGCAACTTCAATGCAGGCTCCTCCCGCCGACCCAGCGGCCCACTGAAATGCTGTGACATCGAAAGTGCCCCGAACCCAAACCTGAGAAACTCGAGGTGGCTTTGTATGCCAGGCTGCTTGACCAGCTCTGGGATGGAGCTGGTGAGGCGGAGCTCCTGTGGCCAAAGTCTTGATTAAGCACGTCGAAACGAAAGGCCCCGTCTAAGGCGCGCTAACATGTCTGCAATCCAGAAGAGCATGGAAGCCGGAAAGCGAACCCAAAAGCTTCGAATCGCTGGTCCCCCGCTGAGCGAAGAAGAAGAACTCCAGGGCAGGCTTCCCCCTGGACCCGGATACCTTCTGGAGGTAGGTCCCAGAAGCTTCGCTGAACCCAGCTCAGGTCCTCGTCCACTAGAAGCGGCCCCACGTAGTAGTTGACGCGGCGCATACCCTTGGAACTTCAGAGCTTGGGCAGACACCCGAGTTTTCCCAAAATTGCACAGGGCAAGCGGAATGGTTTGACAAAGCAGACACACGCCCGAAGCATTGAAAGCGCAGACAGCATGATTGTCGCTCGGAGTGCAAAATGAACCAACTTGCCACCCTCAGAAAAGCTGCCAAAACCTATGTTCTGACGAGCCCACCTGCATCACCTTGCTGGATTTCCAGATGAGTCCGTCCAGCCTGGACGGTTCAGGGGCGTTCCGGGAAGACTGTAAATCTATCTCTCTATCTGTCTATCTCTCCACTGTTCATAAGCCTATCTGTCTATCTGTCTATCTCTCCAGTTTAATACCCATGTCTATATCAATGAAAGCTCGCTCCCTCTCTCTCTTTCTCTGTCTCTGTCCACATACATGTATGTTTATGTATGTATGTGTATGTGTATGTATGTATATGTATGTGTGTGTATGTATATGTATGTACATATATATAAATATATATATATATATATATGTATAGATGTATGTATAGATATATGTATATATGTATATATGTGCGTATGTATGTATGTATGTATGTATGTATGTATGTATGTATGTACATACATATGTATATATGTATGTACGTGCACATATGTTCACTTCACTTCCTCGCTGCAAAGGAGTGTGTCTCTGCGAGCCCTAACGGGACAGGACGTTCACGTCCCGGCGTTTAGAGCTGTGGCTTTTCCACATCCCAGGGTACACCAGGCCGCAAAATCGCGGCACAGTCAAAAGCCTCCGGTGCGAACACCCTAAGCAAGGCTATGATCTCACGCAGCTGATGCCCGATAATAGAAAAACAAGCACGAGTTGCGATTACAGAGAGCAAACTCGGCATCATCGCAGAGCACATATGTTCATATATGTACATAAACATACATACCGATCTCGCTTGCTAGGTAGATGTACCGATGCGCTGGTAGTTAGATAGAGAGATACCAATGTATATCCATGACTCGTGCAAAACAACTGCTTCTGCACCTGTCTACATTCTGTGTATCCACATAATCTGCACGTCTATGTAAATAGCTTCAAGGTGCTACAGTCTTGCTGTTGTTCAGAAGTTGAAGTCGTCTTGCATATGACATGTCAGGTCTCTACAAAATTGTATCCGAGCGGCAATGTGTGCAGCAGGGAGGGTGCCCGTCCGCAAAGAACTGGCACGATATCCGGGTGCCGTTTCCACAATGCCTCCACGGCTCCAGGCTTCGAATGTACGATGTGATGGCAACGACGCCCTCGAGGTAAGCGCTCAATTACACTGTCTAGCAGGTGTTGGTGCCGAGACAAGCTCGATATGATTCTGAACACCCATGCGCGGTCGTCGAGGCAAGCATCCCTCAATGTGGCTTCGCCGCGCAAGATCCGAAGAAGATATGGGCGGCTGAAATGACCACTGTTGACCGAGATGTCACCCTCGCTGTGAGGCTCAGGACGCCGCCACGGGGCAACATGTCAGATGCCACGAACACTGCAGAGGCCAATGGATTGGAGACTGTTCATGTGCCAACGGCTGGGGTGGATTTTCAGGCAACGGGAATGCACGAACGAGGGTGAGAGTGAGGCAAACAAAACCTGAGCAGGGCAACCTTCAAAGGCGACTGACTGCACTGTCATGGACCTTGCATACACCGAAACCCAACCTGACACAATACCCCTGCAAGGTCGCCGAAAGCAAGTCTCGCAACCCTCGACAAGATGATTCTATCCATGACTATCCGGCCTCCATGCCATAGTAGTATCGTGCTCGGTCTGCTCGGATAGTCAACAGGTCAGTGAAAATGGCTTGCGCTGTGTTCAGAGCTCCACTCTCCTGGCGTGGCCAGAATCACCCCAATTAGGCGCTGCTCGGTGGTAGATACAACTGCTGGAAAGTGAGCGGCAGTAGTTCGTACCCGCCAAATTCTAAAAGCCTTAGTAGCCTTCACTGGTACCTGGCAGCTTGCAGTGAGGCATTCTTGCCGTGTGGTGAATCGCATGAACTTGCAGACACCACCACTACTACTACTACTACTACTACTACTACTACTACGACTGCTACTACTACTCCTGCTACTACTACTACTACTACTACCACTACTACTACTACTACTACTACTACTACT